ATGACCACAGCCAACTATTTGAGTCCAAAACATCCATCCATCCATTTTCTTCCGCTTATCCGGGGTCGGGTCGCGGGGGTAGCAGCCTAAGTAGGGAGGCCCAGACTTCCCTCTCCCCAGCCACTTGGGCCAGCTCTTCTAGGGGAATCCCGAGGCGTTCCCAGGCCAGCCGAGAAACATAGTCCCTCCAGTGTTTCCTGGGTCTTCCTCTGGGCCTCCTTCCGGTGGGATGTGTCCAGAACACCTCACCAGGGAGGTGTCCAGGAGGCATCCTAAACAAATGCCCAAGCCACCTCAACTGGCTCCTCTCGACGTGGAGAAGCAGCGGCTCTACTCCGAGTCCTTGCCGGATGATCGAGCTTCTCACTCTATCTCTAAGGGAGAGCCCAGACACCCTGCGGAGAAAACTCATTTCGGCCGCTTGTATCCGAGATCTCATTCTTTCGGTCACAACCCAAAGCTCGTGACCATAGATAAGGGTAGGAACGTAGATCGATCGGTAAATTGAGAGCTTTGCCTTTTGACTCAGCTCTCTCTTCACCACGACAGACCTGTACAGCGCCTGCTTTACTGCAGACGCTGCACCTATCCGCCTATCGATCTCACGTTCCATTTTTCCTTCATTCGTGAACAAGACCCCAAGATACTTGAACTCCTCCACTTGGGGTAGGACCTCCTCCCTGACCCAGAGAGGGCACTCTACCCTTTTCCGGCTCAAGACCATGGCCTCGGATTTGGAGGAACTGATCTTCATCCTGGCCACGTCGCATTCGGCTGCGAACTGCTTCAGCGAAAGCTGTAAATCATGATCTGATGAAGCCAATAAGACCACATCATCTGCAAAAAGCAGAGACACAATCCTAAGGCCACCAAAACGGATCCCCTCAACACCTTGGCTGCACCTAGAAATTCTGCCCATAAAAGTTATGAACTGAATCGGTGACAAAGGGCAACCTTGGCGGAGTCCAACTCTCACCAGGAACAAGCCCGACTTACTGCCGGCGATGCGGACCAGGCTCTGACACCGGTCATACAGGGACCTAACAGCCCGTATCAAAGGGCCCGGTACCCCATACTCCCAGAGTATCCCCCACAGGGTTCCCCGAGGGACATGGTCGAACTCCTTCTCCAAGTCCACAAAGCACATGTAGACCAGTTGGGCAAACTCCCACGCACCCCCCAGGACCCTGCTGAGAGTGTAGAGCTGGTCCAATGTTCCACAGCCAGGACGAAAACCGCACTGCTCCTCCTGAATCCGAGGTTCGACTATCCGACGGGCCCTCCTCTCCAGAACCCCCGAATAGACCTTACCAGGTAGGCTTAATAACGTGATTCCCCTGTAGTTGGAACACACTCTACGGTCCCCCTTTTTGAATAGGGGGACCACCACTGCCCCGGTCTGCCAATCCAGGGGAACTTCCCCCGATGTCCACGCAATATTGCAGAGTCGCGTAAGCCAACACAACCCTACAACATCCAGAGCCTTAAGGAACTCCGGGCGAATCTCATCCACCCCTGGGGCCCTGCCACCAAGGAGCTTTTTAACCACCTCGGTGACCTCAGCACCAGAGATTGGAGGGCCCGACCCAGAGTCCCCAGGCTCCGCTTCCTCAGTGGAAGACGTGCCGGTGGGATTGAGGAGGTCTTCAAAGTATTCCGCCCACCGACCCACAACATCCCAAGTTGAAGTCAGCAGCGCACCACTCCCACTATTAACAGTGTTGGTGGCATACCGCTGTCCCCCCCTGAGACGCCGGATGGTGGACCAGAATCACCTCGAAGCCGTGCGGAAGTTATTCTCCATGGCCTCTCCGAACTCCTCCCATGCCCGAGTTTTTGCCTCAGCGACCGCCCGAGCCGCATGTCGCTTGGACTGCCAGAACCCATCAGCTGCTTCCGGGGTCCCACAGGCCAAAAAGGCCCGATAGGACTCCTTCTTCAGCCTGGCAGCATCCCTCACCGATGGTGTCCACCATCGGGTTTGAGGGTTGCCGCCGTGACAGGCACGACAACCTTGCGGCCGCAGCTCCGGTAAGCCGCGTCGACAATAGAGGCACGAAACATTGTCCACTCAGACTCAATGTCCCCCACCTCCCTCGGAACATGTTCTAAGTTCTCCTGGAGGTGGGAGTTAAAACTCCGTCTCACAGGAGACTCTGCCAGACGTTCCCAGCATAACCTCACAATACGTTTGGGTCTGCCAGGTCTGGCCAGCATCCTCCCCCACCATCGGAGCCAACTCACCACCAGGTAGTGATCAGTGGACAGCTCCGCCCCTCTCTTCACCCGAGTGTCCAAGACATGTGGCCGCAGATCAGATGAGACAATGACAAAGTCGATCATTGAACTGCGGCCTAGGGTGTCCTGGTGCCAAGAGCATATATGGACACCCTTATGCTTGAACAAGGTGTTCGTTATTGACAATCCATGACGAGCACAGAAGTCCAACAACAGAACACCACTTGGGTTCAGATCAGGGGGGCCGTTCCTCCCAACCACACCCCTCCAGGTCTCACTGTCATTGCCCACATGAGCATTGAAGTCCCCCAGCAGAACAAGGGAGTCCCCAGGAGGTGCACTTTCCAGTACTCCCTCCAAGGACTCCAAAAAGGGTGGATAATCTGAACTGCCATTTAATGCATAAGCACAAACAACAGTCAGAACCCGTCCCCCCACACGTAGGCGGAGGGAGGCCACCCTCTCATTCACCGGGGTGAACCCCAACACACAGGCACCAAGTTGGGGAGCAATAAGTATGCCCACTCCTGCTCTGCGCCTTTCACCAGGGGCAACTCCAGAGTGGATGTGTCCAGCCCCTCTCAAGGAAACTGGTTCCAGAGCCAGAGCCATGCGTAGAGGTGAGTCCGACTATTTCTAGCCGGAACCTCTCAGCCTCACACACCAGCTCAGGCTCCTTCCCCACCAGTGAGGTGACATTCCACGTCCCAATAGCCAGCTTCTGTAGCCGAGGATCAGACCGCCAGGGTCCCCGCCCTCGGCCACCACCCATCCCACATTGCACCTGACCCCTTTGGCCCCTCCCACAGGTGGTGAGCCCATGGGAAGGGGGACCCACGTCTCCTTTTCGGGCTGTGCCCGGCCGAGCTCCATGGGTAAAAGCCCGGCCACCAGGCGCCCGGCCACCAGGCGCCCGGCCACCAGGCGC